ACACTCATCCTCCAATACTTTCAATTTTGGTTTAAATAGAAAGCGGAGCAAGAATGTAAGAAAGCTTACAAAGCAATTTAAGTGTGTGATCCTCCCACGTATGTATGTTTGCCTCACTCATACCTAATTGGAAAGAAAATTTTAAAATGACCTTTACTGACTCTTTCCAAAGCATTCAACTCACTTTACCATTTCTGTAACAGTTAATTCAATTATAATTACAATAAAGCACCTGATGGGTCATAAACAGGACTAGGAGCTTTAAAAATGCCATTCTTGGTATTTATATATGTTTGTATTATTTATTTCCATAAATTTCCATATAACCATTTTGTTTATAAAATGTTATAAAAGCAGGAGGAGGATACCTATTAAGGGAACTGACTGTCTGAATTAGCTTACTCTACCACCCAATCATACGCTCTAGAGGTATTGTTGATATAATGCAGAAACCAGGAAGTTCCATTAAAATGTTAAATAATTCCGGCAAACAGAAGACTCTATTAAAATCTGTTTGTTCTGGTAAGAGAGGTCAGTGATGGGTATCCTAAAGCCACACCCCTTACTACTTGAATTAATAACGTCATTGGGATACATCATCACCTAGCACTAAAACAAAATACTGCCATTTAACCTACTGCACAATTCCAGGATATCACTGATTGCACTCAGAATTAAACATAATACTCCTTTGACAAATACATATAATTATAATACTCTGAGGAAACCACCAAGAAAGCTAAAAGCACTGACAGGTATTGCTTAAAGGAAGTCATATAAAGCAGTTGTAATTAACATGTTAAAACTTTATTCCAGAAATCTTTAAAATGGAAAATTTTAAATAAGCAGTCCTTTACAGACATTAAGCTACCTTCAAATCAAGATGTAAATAATATTGTTAATTAACAGCTTAAAGAGGCAATTAAATGGCAGTTAATAACACTGATAAATATGTAAGTGTGAAATTCTCAATGAGATCTCTTCTCTTTTCCTTTCTCTGAATTGTGTACAGGTATCCTCTTGTTATTTAAATATAATACACAACTGTATTCCTCAAGTAATTATTATTATTTTTGTTGTTGTTGTTTGAGACAGAGTCTCACTCTGCCCCCAGGCTGGAGTGCACTGGTACAATCTCAGCTCACTACAACGTCCGCTTCCTGGGTTCAAGTGTCCTCCTGCCTCAGCCTCCCAAGTAGCTGGAATTACAAACATGCACCACCATGCCCAGCTAATTTTTGTATTTTTAGTAGAGACAGGGTTTCCCCATGTTGGCCAGGCTGGTCTCGAACTCCTGACCTCAAATGATCCACCTGCCTCGGCCTCCCAAAGTGTCAGCACTACAGGCGTGAGCCACCACGCCCAGTCTTGAGTAATTATTAGAGTCCCTCTGTTTACAAGCTGATATTTATTCTTCATGAATTCAACATTTCCCAAGTACTCATATTAAAAATATGTTTTACCAAAAGAAAAAGCTTACTGGAGTTTCAAACAACATTCGAATTATAATTAAATTTACCTCTTCTTTGGAGGATGTTCTGTAGCTCTTTGAAGCCTGCCAAGTGTAGCTTCCAAACTTTTAAGTGGTCTTCTGTTGGGGGGCTTTGTTGTTTGTACATTTACTGTGCTTAATTCAACTTTCATGCTCTTAATAATGCTTAACAAGTCTTTTTTTGTGTTTTCCTTTTCACTCTCTTGGCTCTCTGAAGTCTCCTTGGAAGTCTCATCAGTTCCAACAGACTGGTCACATTTCTTGCTACAGATCATGCTGCTAGTGCCAAAATATCTTTGGATATTATTGTTTGTCCTGGAAAGATGCATTAAAGAAAAAAATGAAAAATCTAATGCAGGCTAATAAAGTAAAAAACTATGTATCTAAATTTTTTTCAATTCAAGTCCTTTCCATTTGGTTTTTATAATTATTATAATAACTGTAACAGCAGCAACTTACCATTTATTAGCATATGCTACATGCCTCTCCTTGTGCAATCTACTTTATGTGCATTTCTCATACCCACATTAACTCCCTAAGGTCTCCATTTTGCAGATAAGGAAACTGAAAATCGGAGCAGTAACTTACCCAAAGTCATGGAGCTCACAGCTCACTAAGAACTAAGACACACTGTGTGCCACAAATAAGTAGAGGTGTGCTGAGATATTGGTCACATGCTCCTTGGTGTGGCCAGGGCAGTTCTGGGGGTGCTAGTGCTCCCAAGTCTGTTCCCTCCCTCCATTTATCCCAGGGTTCAGTAGAAAAGCACTAATATGGTTAATCAATGGCAATTTATTATTCTCAAACCAGAATCTGACTGACTGCAAGTCCTTGCTCTTAACATATTAATACCTTTTTAAAAAGTTCTAATTAAACAATACAAAAATAAATTTCTATAAATAAAGATTATTTCAAAAAAACTTTGGGTGTTATTCTAATCTGATCAACATTCTCATCAAGCTACATGGCATTTAACACATAACCATTTGTAAGGTAAGCTAAAATGGAACAGAAAAGAGAATAATCATTGGCTAGAAATGTCATTTTTACTTTCTTAATTAGATACATTTATGAAAAAGAACACAGATGATTACATCTATATTAGATTCATGCAAAAGATTTCCTAATTCTTTACCTTTTTTTTTTTTAAATAAAGACAGGGTTTCAAAGACAGAAAAAGAAAGAAAAAAAAAGAAAGAAAGAAAAAAAAATACAAAAAATAAATAAAGAGAGACGGGGTTTCACCATATTGGCCAGGCTGGTCTTGAACTTCTGACCTCATGATCCACCCACCTCGGACTTCCAAAGTGCTGGGATTACAAGCATGAGCTACTGCGCCCAGTCAAAGTTTCCTAATTCTAAGTAACCCAAATATCCAATTTTATTCTGTGGGGTTAAAAACCTCTTTTGGTATTTGGTTATTGAAGAACTTTAAAAACTCTCCATGAATCAGTTTCAGTAAGAGGGTATATTAAAAAATCATTTATTAAATATAGTGAATATCTACTCTGTGGTGGTACAATACAAGGTACTGACACTATATTAGTAAATAAGAATTTCATGGTCCCTGCCTTTATAAAGCTGATATACTACAGCACTGCTTCTCAGACTTTAATATGCATAGTTTTTTTTTTGTTTTTTATTTTTGAGACAGGGTCTCACTCTGTCGAATAGGCTGGAAGTGCAGTGGCATGATCTCAGCTCACTGCAGCCTCGGCCTCCCTGGGCTCAGATGATCCACCCACCTCAGCCTCCCGAGTAACTAGGGCTAATTTTTTTTATAGAGACAGGGTTTTGCCACGTTGCCCAGACTGGTCTCAAACTCCTAGGCTCAGCGATCCGCCTGCCTCCCAAAGTGCTGGGATTACAAGCGTGAGCCATCATATCTGGCCCATAGAAATTATCTAGCTCCTTGCTAAAACACAGATTATTTGGTCCCACCAAAGAATTCTGATTCAGCAGCTTTGTCCAGGAGACACTTGAGAATTTGGATTTCTAACAAACTCCCAGTGATACTAATGCTGCCGGTCAGAGGACCACATTACAGTAGCTATGTATGTTAGTTAATCCTTACTATCTTACAGAACAGGCTTTATTATTCTCACTTTACAGAACAAACTGTTGTCCACAGAAGTTGTTATTGGTTATAAATCTCTAGAGGTTATACAAATAACATAGGGAGCTGACTTAAAATACAGATTCCTGAAATTCTTAGTTTGTAAGTTTGGAATTTAACTGACATTCAGGTGATTCTCATGCAGGTGAGCTCAAAAGCCTGCATCAGACCCTAGGTTATCAAGCTCAGCCAGGTGCAGTGGCTCATGCCTGTAAACTCAGCACTTTGAGAGGCAGACGCAGGTGGATCACGAGGTCAGGAGTTCAAGACCAGCCTGGCCAATATGGTGAAAACTCCATCTCTACTACAACTACAAAAATAAGGCGTGGTGTTGAGTGCCTGTAGTCCTAGCTACTCAGGAGGCTAAGGCAGAAGAATTGCTTGAACCCAGGAGTTGGAGGTTGCAGTGAGCTGAGATCGTGCCACTGCACTCCAGCCTGGGTGACAGAGTGAGACTCTGTTCCCCCCAAACCCCTGCAAAAAATATTGTATCAAGTTCTCAAAGCCAGGAAATGGCAGCTGCAAGCTAAGGATACTTACATGAAAGAGAAAATGGCAATTTCAAAAAATGTTGAAACAAACTATTTGATCTGCTTATAAAAACAACAGAGGCTATTAAATCAGGCACTTTAAAATTAGAATTTAAAAATTAAAATTTATTCTAATTTTAAAATTAGAATAAAAAACCAATTGCATACTAGTATCCTCATAACCAGTACACAGGACTCTCATAACAATATTCAATATATGGTACAGTCTATTTAAGAAAATGGTCTATTATTTTACATTTAAAGTTAATATTAAAGGTATTTTAACAGAAACGTGGTAATCAGGGGAATTAATCTCACATATAATCTTTACTACAATGTTTTCTTTCAAGACTGCTATCACACCATAGAAAGCAATCTACATTATAGGAAAATCATGTCTAAGAAACTCCCTAGCACTAAAAATAATAAAACTCTAGACCTAACCTCCCACCTTAGTTTGTTTCCACTGAGAGCATTTCATCAGTACTTCAAACGCAACACCTTCAAAGCCACATTCAAGACTCCTCTTTGAAACTGACTTTCCATTTTTCACACTTCTATATTAAAAGGGCCCCTAACATAAGCAGATTTTATTGATTGATTAAGAGACAGAGCTTCGCCAAGTTGGTCAGGTTGGTCTTGAACTACTGACCTCAGGTGATCCGCCCACCTCAGCCTCCCAAAGTGCTGGGATTACAGGCGTGAGCCACCGCACCTGGCCGATATTTTTTGTTTTCTAAAAATTATAACACATGTAAAAACCTTTCTAAAGCCTGGCTCCGCATTCTTCTATTAACATTAAGGATACCCTAATACTCCAACGCAGCCAGTTGAAATCTTTGCTACCTCTGACCACCCTACCATTATCCTATGATGTCATATCCCTTTCATTCTACCTGTGCAATTTTTCTCCTCCTCAGCTGGTCCTTCCCATCTTCACTGTCACTAACCTGCTTCAGCCCTGTACTTAACCAAACTGCCTTCTGAGTGTTACTCACGGAATTTATGCAGTGGAATTATGTTTTCATAATAAAGTTCTCAGAGGATAAAAAACAAAAACTATACCGCAATTCCCTTTTTTTTTTTTTCCTGGCTAACTTCAACCAGTGGTCCTCCTTCAGGTTTCATCAGACTTTTACAGAAACGATATCCTGAGTCTCCCCTGCAATGGTTAGAAGTCCCTATTTGTTCCCTCAGCAATCATTCATGTTGGATGAACAGTGTAATTACTCTGTGCTTACCTACACTCTCTCAGCTATTACTTCGGTACACAGCACTTGAATTGTCAACTTGCTGGAACTACACGCTGCGTGATGACAGGACTGTCTTACTTGGGGTTTACAACCAATACTGGCAAGCTGTCAAGTTTTTCAGTAATTAACCAAAGAAGAAACGAGGGAAACAGAAAACGAGACTCTCAAATAAATCTTGGGAGACAAAAGAAAAAAACAACTTGGCGTTTGGAGCTTGGATAAACTGACAGGAGATGATGACAAGAGGAATGAGGCGCGGCATGCATTAGAAATAACAGCGACCAGGCTTTTAAGCCTAGCTGTTTTCCACGCACACTATGACCTTGGGCAAGTTAACTTTTCTTTCTGGGACTTCTCTTTCCTCAGATTTAAAGCAATAGCTTCTAAGGACCCAGCAAGTAATAACATGGACACCAGGAAATCGGAGGATAACACGACGGGACACGGGGTTGCCAGAGGACCTGCAGGGCCAACAGCGCTGAACTGCGGTACCTGACGGTTCCGTGCCGAGCAGCGAGTAGCACAATCGCAGCTGCTGATGACGTCTCCGGGCTTCCAGAGGACAAAGGGTGGCGGGAAAGGGGGCGAACAGGTAGGAACGTCGCGACTCTAGGAAACATCGCCGAGACACAAGTAGAACCCAGAAGGCAACTGAAATGGTGCGTCCCTCTGCCAAACACGTCCTCCGCCGCCTTTTCCGTTTCCGGCCTGACGCCTTCCTCTTCCTTTGCGTTCCGGTGGGCAACAGGGGCAGGTGACTGTGTTCCGAACTCTCCCGCGGCCGGGCGGAGCCAGCTGCCTCCACGGGACTCCACCCACCCCGCGATTCTAGTTCTAGAGGCGGAGTCTTCGCCAGAGTTCAGCCAGGTTTCGCTGGCCGAGGCGGTCCCAGACCCGCGAGCTGGATAGTGGAGGGCGTTATCCGTTGTGCGAAATACTGATGAGGCCATTGAAATCAGTCTCTTACTTGACACTATTTTGCGTTGTTTGGAGGGCAAAGGTCTACAGCATTCATCACGTTCTCAAAATGCGCAGTGACCACCAAAAAGGTTTTTAAAAATTACTAAAACACCTGCTGCCCTGTGAATTAGCGTTTCCTTTCAGTCTTTATTCTTCTCGAGTCAAAATAAGACATAGGGTTCATTTCTCGAAAATGGCTTTATGGCCGGACACGGTGGCTCATGCCTGTAATCCCAGCAATTTGGGAGGCTGAGGCCTGTGTATCACTTGAGGTCAGGTGTTCGAGACCAGCCTGGCAACATGGTGAAACACTGTCTCTACTACTACTACTACTAATAATAATAATAATAATAATAATTAAAAAAAAATTAGCCAGGCGCGTTAGCAGGCGCCTGTAATCCCAGCTACTCTGGAGGCTGAGGCAGGACAATCTTTGAACTCGGAAGGTGAGGGCTGTAGTGAGCTGAGATCATGCCTTTGCACTCCAGGTCTGGGCTACAGAGCGATACTCTTGTCTCAAACAAACAAACAAAAAAGGATTTAGGCCAGGGGCGTGGTGGGTCACGCCTGTAATTCCAGCACTTTGGGAAGCCGAGGTGGGGGATCACTTGAGGTCAGGGGTTCGAGACCGGCCTGCCAACATGGCCAAACCCCGATTCTACTAAAAATGCAAAAATTAGCCGGGCGTGGTGGTGTGTGCCTATAATCCCAGTTACTCGGGAAGTTGAGACAGGAGAATCGCTTGAACCCGGGAGGCGGAGGATGCAGTGAGCCGAGGTAGTGCCACTGCACTCCAGCCTGGGCAACAGAGTGAGACCCGGTCTCAAAAATAAAAAATAAAAATAAATAAAAGATGCAAGAGAGAAACTTGGCTTTTACCTGGCCCTCATGAAATGGGGAACCGCAGCTCCAGAAGACATCTGGGGTTCCCAAACTTGGAAGGGCATGAGAATAAATCTGGTGGGAAATGTTGGCTAATAGGACACCTGGGAACCACTAGCCTAAATTTCCGTAAAGGCATTCCAAAGTTTATATCAACATTTTCCCTGTCCTCTCAAAAAATAATCAAGATGAGGCGGTGAGCTTCGGTGATGCTAAAACACAGTTTACATTGAGCGATCTTCCTGAGATCCACTAACACTAACAGAACCTTTGGGACTGAATTGAAGCATAACTTTGTCAAAAGACAAAATTATGGCAAATTTAGTTTAATTGGCTTTTATTTGTGATTCTAGAATAGGGCAACCTCTCATTCTGTAAAATAGAATGAGTGTTCCAGTGAGTTGAGCAGGGGGGTTTGCCTTTATAGGCACAAAAGTGTTGAAGAAAATAGAAACAGGGAACAAAAATCAGATTGGTCATTTCAAAGCTACCTTCCTTATAGGGTTAAAACAGAGAGAATTTCCTGGTCATGCTGGCTCAGGTAAACTAGGCCCCCTCTGATTGGTGCTGTGAATATCCTGCTTTTGGAAAACTGGCCCAGATTTCAAAGTTCAGTTTGATTACTTGGCACTTAACACAAGTGACTATTCTGGTTTGGTCTAGTGTGCTGGGGGCTAGTACAGGAAGCCACAAAGGCTGTAGTCCAAAATTACAGCCTTCTATAAACTTTAGCAATTTCAATACAGAAGAGTACATTAATTACAAATATGTTGATGAAAATGTACTTTTGTTATTGTTGACATGGAGTCTTGCTCTGTCACCCAGGCCAGTGTGTAATGGTGCAATCTCAGCTCACTGTAACCTCTGCCTCCGGGTTAAAGCAATCCTCTGGCCCTAACCTCTCAAGTAGCTGGAACTATAGGCATGTGCTACCACCCCTGGCTAATTTTTGCATTTTTAGTAGAGACAGGGTTTCACCATGTTGGCCAGGCTGGTCTGGAACTCCTGACCTCAGGTGATCCACTCACCTCGGCCTCCCAAAGTGCTGGAATTACAGACATGAGCCACTGTGCCTAACCAAAAATGTGTTTAAGGAATGATCGCAAAGTTAATTCACCCATATAAACCTCCACCTGGATCAATAAGTAGAATATTAGCAGTAGGGCATACTTTTCTTGATATTACTTGATACCCAGTGAAAAATACATTCTTGAGCATAATAAACAGTCCATCTGGATCACATTTAATACTTACTTCATCTTTTCTCAGTTTCTTATAATATTCTTCAAATGGGTTTTTTTAAACCCTAAAAACTCTTGACGAAGGAGAGGCAGACTTCCATCTCAATTTCACAGTTTCTCTGGGGGAAGATCTTGTCCCAGTTACCCTGTTCTTTTTTTTTTTTTTTTTTTTTTTTTTTTTTTTTTTTTTTTTTTTTTTTTTTTTGATACGGTAT